ATATATATATATATATATATATATATATATAGTTTTAAAAATTATATTCTCTATTTTTACGTGTATATAACTATTACTGTAAGAAAATATCAGAATTAGTTACATACTTTCAGTACAATCTTTGCTTGAACTGACCGGATCTAATCCTGTTTTAATGAGCCTACTTCCGAGCAGGTTTGAACTACCAAAACTGTTGCTATGACAACAACTTTTGGACAACATGATCCTGGATCATGTCAAATCGTCAATTACCAAATCCAGCTAACTGAGTAATCCACGTACAAAGAACGGACCCCAGTGCTCAACAGAAACGTTTGTGATTGGCCGTGAAGGTCATCAGTTCACTGCACTTCACCATTGTTTACAGAATGCAAACACAGATGAGCGATCCGCTGATGACTCCACTGATCTTCGCGGCTTTAAACGCTCCATTGTCCGTGTATCTCTACTTGCACTCAATGAGGATCGATGAACTGATGACCTTCACAACCAATCACAGAAATGGTTGTCTTTGAAATTTCTGTACCGGGACAACACTATTACAGACAACACAAGGGTGTGCTACAGAGGACTGCAGTGTTTTATTGCTCACGGGGTAACATAAAGCCTAGTTCACACTACAGGATTTTAAACATCAGCAGATCGCTGTGCCGTTCACACTACATGACTTGACATTGTGTCTTTTAATCTCTGTGGTGTTCACACTACGCAACACTCTGTGAATGATCCACAAGAGGGACACACTACATGATCTGACAACAACTCATTCCCCATCAGCTCATTCAAGCTACCAAACCACAGCCAATGAAAATTTGAGAGAGGAGTCATCAGAAAAAGCTGAACACTATTGGCTGCTTGTGTGCTGATTACATCACTGACAGCGTTTCAAGCTTTGGAGAAAGCATTTAAAAACATCATCAAATCAGCGGATTTATCAGCGGATTAATCACTCATCTGCAAGGTTCCAGTGGATAGATACACAGAGAGTTTTTAATTAATTTTTGTAATTGTATAACTCTTTGAAATAAAACTAACAAATAACACCCTGCCGTTTTCTAACTATCAGTGTATTTCTTTCTGACATTGTCATTTTTTTTATTACAAAACAGTAAAGAGCTGAGCATTTCTGCCTTAAAATTACGATATTGGTCAAAATGACTGCATGCATGTCTGATACTTTTCACTGTGACTTTAAATATGTGTGCATTTTTGCCTAACAACTTCCTGCTAACATAAACAAAACTTTCTGATGGCAAAAACATCAATTTACTTCAGATATCTTTCAAAACAGCATATTCTGTGCCGTGAAATAGCTCCTGTTTGAAAGTGAAAATGAAAGCCAAGACCTTTGCATGGTCTAGTATCTTAACTGCATATTTATAGGCTGTATTACCAAAAAAAGATTATATTTTTAGGGTAATGGTGTCATTAAATATGATGCCAGACATTCAAAGCTTAATTTTAATATCTCAATAATAGCTTTGAATGTAAATATGTTGTGACAATATGGCGTTTTATATGAGAACGGTTAGAATGACCAGTATGGTAATTCTTATAGTTACAGAATTCTAGTTCCACTGTTAATATAGCCTACTCTCATGTCTGTGTTAACACAGAATGAAGCGAAAGCGTTGAAGCCCATTCTGACCAATCACAGAGGTTTCTGTTGAGCTCCTGAGCACACAGGCATTTTCTCTCATTGGCTGCAGCTCGTCACTACATCTGACCACACGTGGGGTTGAGTCGGCTGACTGCTCTGGAATATTAAGCATGCTAAATGTTGGATTTCCATCTGCGAGGTGTCTGCGACGCGTCAGCGAGCCTCGTTGATGCGTTGTTCAGTAGTTCACACATGAAGAGCGCCGAGCACCCGCAGATTTCTTCCCGATCACAGCCCGATCTGTTCGGCGAGCTCGTTAACTTCCAAATCGAGCTTAAAATCCTCTAGTGTGAACTAGGCTTAAGCTGAAGCAGGGAAGCGTCCCCACTGTACTTGCCTGGTGCCATGAACTAAAGCTTAGGAGGACACTTAACCGTATTACTCTTAAAGAGATTGGAATTTTGTTTGATGCATAATATGCTTTTAAATTCTTAATTAAACTTAACTGAATATTAAAGTGTTGTTTCCACAATATCTGCACTTTGAAATCACGGCAACAGCTGGAGGTTTGTAGTCTACGGTATGTTGTTGCAATGTTTACTGTACTGCTGATCCTATACTTCCAGGTTTCTTCCCACCGCAGCCTTGCTTTCGTTTTTTAAAATGGCGGCCACGTGAAATACGCATATTCATTTTTAGATGTTAAAAACAGCTTGTTATTCTGCTTGATGTTGCAATCTGATATTTTTCGAATTATATTATTTTACTTTGTCAAGTCACGAACAAACTTGTTTGTAGAGCAGGTAGTTTGGCCGTTTTCTGATGTTTATTATTGCTAGTCATTTCTCCCATAGGACACTGTGTCGAAAATTCTAAAACAATCATAAAAACGAGCGCACTTCCATACTGCAGAATAAGGTCAATAGGCTGGGACGTCCCACCACACAAATACGAATCTAATCTAATCAGTTGGTCTTAACACCCAACCTATCATGAGACAATCATGATATTGAAAATTCCAGGCTGAAAGAGTTTAACTTGTTTTGAATCCAGAATATTCCTTGCATTCTTCATCAGCTTCTCTAAATCCTTTCGATCCCACTAAAGATCTTTAACAAACACTTTAGTTAAAGGGTACCCCAGCCAGCCCTTCTCTGGGTCTTCATAATCGTCCTCTTCCTCTTCCTCAATCCCTGCGGTCTCACCCTGCAGACGATAACCCAGCCTCCTAAAAAAAGCTTCTCCCACTTTGGAAGGGATTGGCACGTGTGCATAGACCCGGCATACGCCTTTCTGCTTTGTTCTTGACTCCAGGCCCTGCACCAACAGTCTGCCCAGTCCCTCTCTGCGGTACCAACATTGGACCACCAGCCTGCAGACCCTACAAACACCGTCCCGACTCCAACCATCTCTAGCCACGCATCCCACAATCTCCCCATCAGAGTCTGCCACCCACACCTCTCCAGCAACCTTGGCCCTCTGCTTCAGCTCATCTTCATCCACCTGCTCTCTCTCATTCATCTTCTCCTTCTCTTTGGCCTTTTTGCGCCGTCTGGTTTTCTCCTGGTTGGTAGTCAGCTTGGCTCTGCCCAGGTGAGGATTGGGTAAATCTGGTTCTGTGTCTGCATGGTAGCTGCTGCCAATGTAGTCCCAGTATGGTCTGCATGAGCCCAAGATGCCTGCCGATCGCGGGATGGTGAGCTTGAGGTAGATGACAGAGATGAAGACGGGAATAACCAAGGCTAAAACGAAAGAGTGCAGCACGCAGCGCAGGATGGAGGAGAGGATGGCCAGCAGGAGGAGAGCAAGCGGACGGGTCAGAAGGTGAAGAATCAGGCGGTTCTCCGTTCCCTCACATCCTTCCTGAAAGCAGAGTCAGAATAAGAGGGGCCACAGAGATAAAAGAAAGCATTGATCTTTATTATTTTAGTTAAATATTTTGTACACTTAAATATGTCATCCTACAGATGTTTTCAAATTACATTTTAATTAATGGTGCAGTAGGTGATTGTGTTCAGAAATATTTCTTGTGCTGGTTGAAAATCTCTTAATATTACAATAGTAATGATTACAGTAAATTATCTAAATGTGTTTATATGCAATTTATATACTGAACTAAAAAATGTTCATCCAATTAAATACAGTTCCCATAATTCTGATAATTAGCCCAAACTGTCTATCAACAAATGTAGATTTGTACATCTGCGCACCCCGTTCACGCAGATCCGCCGTTTGAATGTGAACGCAGCACATGAGAGAGAGAGACAGCGGTAAAAACAAAGGCTGAATCAAAACTTTTTAAAATTCTGAGACATATTGGAGCTACTATTTCATGCTGAAGGAAGGATGACGTACAGGTAAAGTTATGTTTTAAAATTCTTTTAGTCACACAAAGCTGATGTAGACTGTGTTGTGTTATGATTGGGTTATATGCACTCATGTGTTGTTCAGCCAATGAAATTCTCTGGCAAAAGATTGATGTGAATATTTTTTATTTCATAAAGTATATTTTACAGCATCGATAATGTACATTTTTATTTAGTTTAACAACAAAACATCAGTAAATAGCGCTATTCTGCGTAGTCTGCTTTACTCCTCATCTCCTCCTCCTTTGAATCTCCTCATCTTCCACCAGTGTGCAGCATCCACCTGGATGATGCGATTGCAGCCATTTTGCGCCAGACCGCACACCACACACCTGCTGATTGGTGGAGAGGAGAGAGGGTGATAAAGCTAATTATGATTTGGGGACGGTTAGGAGGCCATGATGGACAGAGGCCAGTGGGCAGATTTGGTCAGGATCCAGGGGTTAAACCCCTACACTTTTTCGAAGGACATCCTGGGATTTTTAACGACCACAGAGAGTCGAGACCTCGGTGTAACGTCTCATCCGAACTGAACAGTATAGAGTCCCCGTCACTATACTGGGCCATTAGGACTCACACAGACCGCAGGTTGAGCGCCCCCTGCTGGCCTCACTAACACCACTTTCGGCAACAACCTAGCTTTCTCATGTGGTCTCCCATCCAGGTACTGACCAGGGTCAGCCCTGCTTAGCTTCAGTGGGCGACCATGTGAGAGTTGCAGAGAGCTGGCTGCCGGCTCATGAGAACCTGTGATGCATAAATCAGGCTTGTTTGTTGCACACATTGTTGCACCCTTATTTTACAAATTATAAAAAAAATGTCTGCTTCTCAAGCTCTATGAGGGGTGTCATTCATGTTTTTTAAGATGCACTCGGTCAGAAGACAATCGCATGAGATAGCATGACATTGGGTTTTTGATTGTCAGCATGATGTAGGCTTATAGTGACAATAATATTTATACAATATGGTTAATATAATGATATTTATACATGACCAAACTAGTGTGCAACTTAAGCAACTTTTTTTTACATTTAGTTTTGTAGTTCAGGCAGAAACAAATATTTGTTGCATTTTTTAATTGCATTTGTTGCATTTTTTAAATGCATTTTTTTTGCATTTTTTAATTGTTTAAGTTCATTTAATTGACAATGTAAAATCTTTTAGCTACGTTTGATGTTTCATAGTTGAGTTAAACATTTTTTTAGGGTCTCTTGCTTTTATTATTTATCTTTATTTTATTAATCAACATTAACTGTGTGCATCAGCAGGCAGTTTTCAGGTTCATTATTTATTAGGCTCCCTCAAAACACACAGGCACACACATTTTCAGTGTGGATTATAATTTTATTGTAATAATAAATTGTAAAAAATTAAGTTTTTAACTTGTCAACTCTCGTTATTTCCTATATATGGCTTTTGTGCTTTTATAGAATGGGAGTTGGTAAACACATTCAAGGGCATGCACAGATAGGGAGCATTTTGATTGATTTAGTGGGCCGCTCTGGCCCAAAATGCCAGGGCCGATTTTTTTGTCCCATTCCAGCCCTGAGTGCAATTGTTTGTATTCAATACTTTATTAATATTATTTTAATTTTCCATATCTGTAATTCTTGTATTTTGGCATTTTTTGCAGTCCACTTAGAATCTAACATGGAAATCAATGTTTTCTTTATTGGCATTGATTGTTTTGAAATTCAAATGGCATTAACATGCCTGTGTTTTTATTTCTGTAATAAATATGGCTGTCAAGCCAGGATCTTGATAGTTTATTGTGGTATGTTGTTTACATGAAGAAATATGTATTACAAGTTAAACAACAATTCTAATAATAAATTATATTTTGGATTTAAATAGTATTTGTCTTGCGTTTACGTTAATTTTACATTCGAACAGGCAAAATTACAAGTTTCAGTCTTTTAAATGCGATTAATCGCGATATTTTAAAAAAAAAAGTGTTTTTTTTAATCGATTGACAGCACTAATATATATATATATATACATACATACATACATACATAAACACACACACACTACCGGTTAAAACATTTTTTTCATGTTTTTGTTTTTTTTTTAAGAAAATTATTCTGTTCTTGAAGGCATTCATTAAATATATATATATAAAAATTGTTACATTTTTATTACAAATTTAAATAACTGGTTTGTTATTGTATGTAGTTAGTTTCAAAATAAATGATTACTCCAGTCATTATTGTTTTTATTACTATTAGCATTATTATTATTTATAATAATAATAATAAGTATTATTATTATTACTAATATTAGCATGTTTTCTGAAGGATCATGCGACTCTGAAGACTGGAGTAATGAAGCTAAAAATTCATTTTTAAAATCACTGGAATAAATTACTGAATTAAATTATACTTTTGAACAGTTATTCTATAGCACAACATTTCCATTGTAACTTTTCACAATTTTGTACTGTATTTTTGATCAAATAAATGCAGCCTTGGCGAGCAGCTTATTATTTTTTAAAAATCCTACTGACCCCAAACAGCATGTATGTATGTATGTATGTATGTATGTATGTATGTATGTGTGTGTATATATGAGCGTTAATAAAATTGTCTTAACTGTCTGTGTGTTGAATCGCACCTTAATAAGAGCCTTTACTGCTTCAATGTCCTTCTCCTGCATCCTCCGCAAAACTACATCAGCAAGATCCAATCGTACCATTTTACCTAATAGAAAACCCAAAAGTCATTCACACATTTACTTAAGTTGAACTTAAAAATACACTCTACATTTGGTTATTGCAGATATTTTCGTGACAATGCTCTGAACAACACATGCAAATAAGAACAACTTTAACGTGATAGACTTTGTGGTTTATGTATGCCTGCCTTGTGGGAATATAACATTACATCTCAGACGTTAAGCAAAAAAACTGATGTTATGGCTTCTCTGTCTTTCAGTGTGTGGAGCTGTTCGAGAAGCAATTTAACAGGTTTAGTTAAATCAGCATGTTGTACCGTTAGCTTGCTCCGTCCCCCTCATGTCGATTTTTTAATCCTTATATGGTAAACGCCGCCTTCTCTAAGGCTCAATCCCATAGCTATAATTTAAAGATCATGCGTGACCTACTTACCTGATTTTCAGAGACGCACGTATTGCTTTAAATACAAAATGCTGCAGAAATGCCCTCCTCTAGTCGATGTTACTTGCAGCGTTTGAGGCATTTATGGAACAGCGTTGTCTCTTCAACATGGAATGTAATTTCCACCAATCCTCATTCGGGAATACGACCCTGCGTAAAATACGTAGTGTTTTTGCGCACATAAACTATTAACGTTTTGAGCGCATGCGCCGTGTGTGGGCGAGTTTTTCTTTCTGCTATAAAATGTTTTAAATTATTATTTATCTAACAATGTGCAGCTTATTTTCATAGATCACATCATGTTACATGTCATGACAATACAATATTTTATGCAAAAAGTGTCTCATATTGCAAATATCATGAGCTTTCCCCCCATCATAATCAAAATATCTGTTTTTTTTATTTTTATTATTGCGATAATTATTTTTATTGTAGTCATCTTTCTAATTCTACATTAAATCGCTTAAAATATATTTTATCTCTGGCTAGGCAGTAAAATCTTCTGAACTGGACTTACTCTCCATCTCACTTGTTAGATTAGAAATGTTCTTTATTTTATTAAAGAAAATTAAATACCATCTTTACTGACCTAGCACTATTCTCCTATTTTCATTAAATAGCGGGAATCCCCTCTTCATCTTGACCTTGTTCTTTCTGATCGAGTCTCTACCACCAACTTGGTAATGGAAACTAGTTCTCACGAAATACTCTTAGTGTATTTGCTTCTTGTTACATGTTTTTGTTGTCCTTTATTTTGTATCTTCTAGGCATGGGCCGGTATAAGATTTTGACGGTATGATAACCTTGGTTAAAAATTTCACGATATTGTGATTACTGCTCTAAAATATATTCTTTTTTAAATGTCTAAAAACAAAAACTTTTTTCCCCTTTGAAAACAATATATTTTATTTTTTGAAAGATTTATAATATTTTGGAGCAGTATTCATGTCAGGCTAAATCAAATTCTGCTGTCTTCATTAGTTTCAAAAACACAGATTTCTTTACAATTTAAAACGGCATCTTTGGATATTTTTTTGCTAAAGATACTGTTGTCCTAAAAAAATCTAAGTAAATAAAAAATCTTACACATACCTTAGGAAGAGAAAGTTTTGGCGGTTTTAAACCTTGAATTTTCAAAATTGTGGTATACCTTGAAAACGTCCCATGCCTATACCTTCTAGTAATGTGTTTCACTATCTATAAATAAAATATACATTTAAAGAAAAATGTGTGTCAGCAAACCTTGCTTCAGTTACGATGCAATACTTTGCCTTTAAATTGGTAGTATTACCTCTCACAACTGTGTTATACACAAGCAATGATGCCACTTTCCTTTGCTGATAAGAAATGAAGCACTAAAAATGTCTGTGCGCTCACTCTAAGAAAATATTTCATTTGAAAAATCTTACAAGTAGAGTTATTTCCCCATGTCAATACTTTCACAATTTTAAAAGACAATCTATTGATTATTTAAAAAATATTTTGATCCCGATTTACTTAGTGCCATGTGCTCAGTATTTATGCTAGCTAGTGGGCTTTTTGGCTAAAAAGAAGTAGATTTGTCAGTTTTGTTTCTGTTACCCTTCGCTATGTTGTCCCGCGAGAGAACCCTAAAACGAAGATAGGGAATAAAGTTTAGGCAGGATATTGAAGCTGCAGTCACACTGCACTTTCCTCCCCATAGACTTCCATTCATACGCACGCGAATGCATCAGACTGGAAACACAAGCACCTGCGACAGGTGTGACAGTTGAAATCACATCACTTGACTGCGTGAGACCAATCGAGGAACATGACCTCTTTGGACAGAAATTTAAACTAAGGAGCAATCGGTCGCTTCTTTAAATGTCATACATCTTCTTTAATCCCACCCCTTTTCGCAGCGCCGCACGACAGAATTTTGCAAGCTCAAACTCTAGTGTGACCACAGCTTTATAATAGTTTTGGAATGACCTGATAGGCTAGCTAATGATTAGCAATAAGGATCAGCTGTAGTGGATCATATCACGTGCTCCTCTCGAAATTAGTAAAAAGTAAAAATACATACATTTAGTATACTGAAAATATGTAATGTTGATATTTTAAAACAGAATATGCTTTCAATAAGATACTGGAAAGAATTGTTGTTTATAAAGAGTTTTTTGAAATGCTAAATTAACCTGTCAGTATACAATCACCCATGTGCATGTGTGCATGAAATCTAATCAAAGTATTGAGTAAACAAAATATATAGCAAACACAAATACTGACATTCATACGTATTTTTATTGGTAATTGTCATCTAGTACCAATATTAAGACTGAAAACAAACAGAGTAGTCATATTTACAAAAGTTCACTTTGTACAGTCACTGTCAACATGACAGCATGGCTGAATATAGTTCATATTTCATATTAGTTTAAAAATTCTGTTTCAGTGCACCCTGAATATAGAAGAGCAGCCGAGATTTCCTTCATTGAGAAACCACCGTTTTTGGCTGGGCTGTATTTGATGACCGTGGTTTGTGAAACAGCTCCCCGTAGGGGCCAGGTGAACAACTGTAACCAAGAAACATATGCTTTATCCCCACAAAGTGCATTCTTGCAGGGGACAACAGCAAAGGAAGAAGACACAGTGGTGTTCTAAGGATGTCTATGTGTGCAACAAACAAGCATGATTTATGCAAGATCTAACATATGTCATGTACAATACCGTCAGCATGTTCCTAATCTCTAAAGACGTCCAATGGAACACTTCAAAATGACAGAAATATTACATTAACCCAGTGTGTGGAATTGTTAAACAAATGTGCAACCGGTAGTTTTGCATTTGAAACCGTGTCTAGAGGTGCAAATTGTTAAATATCAGTCGTTCCACTTGGCCCTAAGTTCCAATCAGCCCCATCTCTGATGTTGATAAGCTCTCAGTCTCAGCAACTTTTAACTCTTCTGACATTACTTCATGTCCGCCTTGTGCATCATTAGTTTGGTTTTCCTCAGTTCCTTCCACTAAAGCATGTCCTACATCTGCTGCCTCTATTCCACTCTCTCTCAAACTGCTGGTGCTAACTTCAATTATAACAATGCCTTCTCCGCCCTCTAACTGAAAGATTCCCTCCATTTGCCCAGAGTTTGCCCCAACAGCACCTTTAAAACTGCCTCTTGCTCCAGAACTGTTCCCCTCACCTTCTATCAGAGCGATCATTTGAACGCTGTCTCCAGCACCTGTGCTTCCATCAATTTTTGTCTCGTCGCCAAGCTCAAACACCACATCCTGCCCTTCTAGGGGTACCAAGGCTTGCCCAGGATGACAAGAAAGGCTGAGATCCTCACCAGGGCCTCCTATGAAGCCCGAGCTTGGCTGAATGTCATCCTCATTTTGAGGCTCAGTTTGAAAATGAAGCACAAATGACTTCTCTACGTCAACATTTCCCTCAGCATTTGCAGCTCCATGCCCCTCACTCTGTTCGGTCCACTCTTGCAGTAAGTTAAGAGAGACCATTCCAGTCTTATCTTTACCTGCTTCTCCCTCACATTCACCCTCTGTCTGAAACCGTAGGACATATGACTTCTCTCCTCCCTCACCATTCTCTCCCTCTTCTTGGTGCTCACCCTCTATCTGCAAGACATAAGATCGCTCTGCATCATTCTCTCCTCCCATCTCCACCTTCACCTCCATCCCATCCCCCTGTTCTCCATTTTCCATTTCTTTCTTCAAGCACAGAACAAAATGCTCCCTTGATATCTCTTTAACAGCTTTCTTCACTGCAACACTCTCAGGATCACTGCTCAACATGGGGGAACTGTTTGTTAGTGTAGAGTTTGGTGTCACTGACATAATGCTAACTGCAGGAACAGAAGGGCTTTCAGGTACTTGGCAAGTGCTGACAGGCAAAACAGCTGGTGGATTATTAGCATTAAGCTTTGGGAACATTGTCTTTACTAAAGCAGCTGAAGTGACACTGGATATCGTGGTCGATGTGGAACCTGCAGACGACAACATTAATGGTTGCTTGACTGGCGTGGTGTGAAGGGCAGAGGGGGATTTTTGGGTAGCAGCTTTGGGCTTTCGTCCACGCCTAGTTGCTCCTTTTCTGCTCCGAGCAAGACTGCCTAAAATGGGACGAGCAATCGTCGATGTGTTTTGAGGCTGGGGAGTAATGAGTGGAGCATTATTATTGGTCAAAATAAATCTCTGCTGTGTCTGGACTGGTTGAAATGGCTGGATTTGAGTTTGGGGTGCTGCCAGAACTTGGGGCATTGCTGGAATAGTCTGAACCAAGGGGAGGGTCTGTGGTTCTGATGGGGTGGGAAGAGTGTTTGTACTGGATGCTGTGGGGACCAGGATCAGACTAGGCTGATTTCCATTGTTGGACTGGCATTGAAGAAGCAGGAAATTCTGTGGAGGTGGTGGGGGTGGAGGAGGTGGGGCTGGTTGTGTTGGTGTGGGATTGGACAGTGGGATCAGCTGCAAACCCGAAGTTGTCTGTATCATGAAATAATTCTGTGATGTGTTTGGAGGTATGTCCAGATTTGGGGGTGAAAGAATCAAAGTGGAATTACTATCAGTGGGAAACAATGAGGTAAGTCCTCCAGGTACATTCAAGTTTACATTTAGCGTTGCTGTCTCTGAAGCCCCACTACCTTTAACAACCTTTCCTGCTTCCTTTGTACATGCTACGTCACCCGCAGAAGTTCTCAAATGAGTTCTCAAATGCCTCTGCAGGTAGGAGAGCATGACAAACTCTTTTCCACAGTGTTGGCACTTGAAGTCCTTGTGTGAGGAATGTGTGCGTAGGTGCAGCTGCAGATTGGATGAGTGGGTGAAGCTTTTGTGGCACTGGGAGCACTGAAAGGGCCTTTCTCCAGAATGTGTTCGCTCGTGCTGTTTGAGGTTGGAAGTCTGAGAGAAAGCCTTACCGCACACCGAGCAAGCATGTGGACGTAGACCAGAGTGGAGCTGACTGTGGCGACGGAGACAGCTGGTGTTCTTGAAAGACTTGCCACATTCCTGACATACATATGGCCGCTCACCGGTGTGCTGGCGAAGATGGTATTGGTAGTGTGAGCTCCACTTAAAGGTCAGTGGACAGTAGGGGCACTGAAAAGCCCGCACACCTGTGTGCACCTACATGGG